CCAGCTCCCCCCTCCTGTCAGGGAGTTGCAGAGAGTGAGGAGGTCTCCCCTGAGCCTCCTCCTCTCCAGGCTGAGCCCCCCCAGCTCCCTCAGCCTCTCCTCACAGCACTTGTGCTCCAGTCCCTTCCCCAGCCTCGCTGCTCTTCTCTGCCCCTGCTCCAGCCCCTCCAGGGCCTTCCTGAGCTCAGGGCCCAGAGCTGGACACAGCACTCCAGGGGTGGCCTCACCAGCGCTGAGTCCAGGGCAAGAATCACTTCCTTGGACCTGTTGGCCACACTGTTCCTGAGCCAGGCCAGGATCCATTGGCCCTCTTGCCCCCCTGGCCACACTCTGGCTCATGTTCAGCTTCCTGGCCAGCCCAACTCCCAGCTCCCTTCCTGCCTGGCTGCTCTCCAGCCCCTCTGGCCCAGCCTGGAGCTGCAGGGGCTTCTTGTGGCCAAAGGGCAGGACCCTTGGCTGGTGTCCCATCTCCCAGGACAGCTGCAGCTGCCTGCTGTGCCAGCACCAACCCTGCTCCAACATCTGAGCTCCACAGCCCAGGCTAGATGAGGACATCAGAAAAGGGATTTTCCTGCCTGGCAGGACTTGCCTCTTCCTAGGCTCTTCCCTTCCCTGGAAATCCAGCTGGCAGCCTCAGGAAGGGAGAGCTGGACAGAGGCACCCACTGATCCCATCTGAAGGTCCCTCAGCAGCACCCGGGGAGGGCTGAGCTTTGCTGGGGGAGCAGCTGACTCTTTTCAGCTCTTCTGGTGCTTTCAGAACATGTAAATCATTAACTGGTTCACTCTCTGACACTGATGAGTGATGAAGGAGAGAACAGGACGCCTCCTGCTTTGTGTCTGGCCTTTCCCATCCAAATTTACAGGAATGGCACAAAGGAGAACTCGGATCTCCACAAGAATTTGGGCTGAGATCAGTCCCCACCACTCCCAAGTCAGGCTGAGAAGCCTCTTGGTCCGAGCTGAGTAATTCCAGGGTGAACAGTGAGGGGAGAGCTGCCCTGGAAACACTTTTAACTGGGATTCAGGGATCCTTCCTCCAGCCAAAGCGGGTTCCCAACTTTATCTGGACTTCAGATGAACCAAACTCCATAAAAACAGAGCTCAAGGCCTTTCCTCTAAACCCGTTTGGCCACAAGAGACACCGCAGAGGCTGCAGGACAGCGACTCAACACCAGCCACGAGAAGACAATTCCCAGTCTTCCAGCAGGAATTCCCTGCAAGAATACACGGAAAAGAGCAGAGGGGGATTTTGTGGAGCCTTACAGGATGCTCTTTTTCCATGTAGGGGAAGAATGCAACAAGGGGTGTTGCCTGAATACAGGTTGGCACCTGAAGATGGTCCAGGAGACCAAAAAACGAGAGGACTGAATAAAAAAGGAGCAAAGAAGGGATTTAAAGGAACACAGAGAGACAGGCAAAGCATGGATGGTTGCGAGGAGCCACAATAAGACAGGACAGAGCAGGAGGAGAAGGGACAGGGCTGGAATTCATCCCAGGGAATTCCTTACCAGTGGATCCCTGACTATCTCCCTCCAGCAGCGACACACCAGGCTCAGGTTCTGGTACAGATCAGCCACGGGAAGGAAGGCAAAGATGTTCCTGAGGACTTCCACGGGCAGCTCATCCAGGTTTCCCTGAGGCTCTTCCCAGTTCCGAGTGCCCAGGAGCCCGAAGTGTGGATCAGGGACTGGCTCCACTTCCACATCATCCGGTTCCTGCTTGACCCGGCCGAGCTCCGCAGGAACCGGCGGCTTCTCCTCGGGCTCCCCCCACAAATCCTGCTCCGGATTGGGAATTCCCGAGGCTGTGGCGGTGAGGGGCCGTTTCCTGGATTTTCCCCTGGGTGCTGGCACGAAGTCCTCATCCTCCAGGAAAGCTGAGGAGTCGCTGCTGACGTCCGTGTGGCTGCCGAAGGAATCGTCGGCTCCGGGGAAAAAGGGATCCCGCGGCTCCTCTTTGATCCCGCCCGCTTGTTGCTTCTGGGATTTCCCGAAGAAATCCAGGATGTTCTTCTGCTGGCCTTGTCCTGCACGAGGAGGGAGAGCAGGAGTGAATTCCATGGAAACCTGAGTGAATTCCAGGGGCGCCCGAGGCTGGGGAAGGTCGGAGTTATTCCCACAGGGCTCCTCCTTTCCCCTCGTGTTCCTCCCGTGGGAGCTCCAGGAGTTGGACACTTCCCAAACCTCTCCCAGGCTGCTCCTACCACAACACGAGGGAAATTAATGCCTTTAGAAGGATAAAAACACATTTATTCCCAGGTATTTGCTGGCTGCAACCTCAAAAAGCACCAGAAACCTCAGAGTAAATCCAAATTATGCTCTCAAAGTCCATGTAGGACATGGACTAAACTCCCCAGCATGGATTTAATCCTTCTGTCCTGCTCCTAAATCTGGAAAATATCCTGATTTTGGCTAAGAAGCCACTCAGGAATTAAAAAATCCCAGGCACCTACTGCTGGTTTTAAGGCCTCTTCTTTCTAGAAGCTCAGGAAGGCTTGGATTAAATAGGGCTGGAAAAGAACAATTTCCCTGCTAAGGTTTTAAGTCTAAACCCCTGAAACCTGCAGCATCTAAATCATCTAAATCTAAATTATTGGAATTTTTAAAGTGAGATAAAGAATGAAAATGGGAAAGTATTCCCAGGGTCTTTTCCCAGCTCACCAGCAAATGTTTTTTGGGAAGTGAGTTAGTTTACATCAAAAATCCCAATGAAAATAGTGCTAAATCTCACCTTCCACAGGGACCAAGGAATTCAGGAATAATTTAATAGAATAATATAATAGAATAATTTAGCAAATTTTAATTTGCTTTTTACCTGTTTCCTCACCCACAGGTGTGTGTGGAATCTGAGGTTTTGAGGCTGGGCCTCAAATAAAATAAAATAAATTAAAAAAATGCAACGAAAATGAAAATAAATAAAGTAAAATAAAAAAAGTAATAAAGTAAAAAAAAGTCAAACAAAGTAAAAAACTAAACTAAAATAAAAAATAAAGTAAATAAAATAAAAAATAAAGTAAATAAAATGAATAAAATAAAAAATAAAGTAAATAAAATGAATAAAATAAAAATAACGTAAAATAAAAAAATATATAATAAAGTAAAAAAATAAAGTAAAAAAAGTCAAATAAAATAAAAAATAAAGTAAAATAATGTAAAAAAAATTAATAAAAATAATGTAAAATAACAAAAATAACAATAAAATAAAAATAAAGTAAAATAAAAAAATAAAATTAAGGAAAATAAAGTAAATAAAATGAATAAGATAAAAATAATGTGAAACAACAAAAATTAAAATAAAAATAAAGTAAAATAAAAATAAAATAAAAAATTTAAGGAAAACAAAGAAAATAGAAGGAATAAAATAAAAATAATGTCAAATAACAAAAAAAAAGTAAAGTAAAATAAAGAAATAAAATAAAGTAAAAAAATAAAGTTAAGGAAAATAAAGTAAATAAGATGAATAAAATAAACATAACTTAAACTAAAAATAAACTAAAACAATGTAAAATAAAATAAACATGTCTGAAAACAGCTCTTTCCTTTTCAGTTTGGGCCCAGTTTGAGCCCTGAGCTCTGTCGTGTCCAGATTAGCTCAAAGTCTTATCAGTCCTCAAAAACCCTCTGAAGCTTCAGCCCTTTTGAGATCCAGGAGCTGTTTATCCCACTGTTCCCCACTTCCAGGAAAGCCAGAGGTCATTATTGTCTGTTAATGCCCAAAAACATTTTTGTAACCCTAAATAACTCAGCAGTTTGTTATTATTTAATGATGACATTCAATAATTATCTTAAAGAGCATCTCCCAGCAGGAGTCCCCTCATTAGCAGTGTCTAATTCCAGAGGCTGGTTGGTTCCCCAGGGATTCTCCCACAGCTCAAGGACAGACATGGAGACCTTTGTGGTGTGAGGAGAAACCAAACTCATGTGGACACATCAGGGGGATGTAGCCAAGGGAACTCTTTTTCAAGGAATTATGGAATGGTTTGGGTGGGAAGGACCTTGATGATCATCCTGTTCCAATCCCAACACCTTCCACTATCCCAGGTTGCTCCAGCCTGGCCTTGGACACTTCCAGGGATCCAGGGGCAGCCACAGCTTCTCTGGGAAATCCATTCCAGCCCCTCCCCACCCTCCCAGCCAGCAATTCCTTCCCAATATCCCATCCATCCCTGCCCTCTGGCACTGGGAAGCCATTCCCTGTGTCCTGTCCCTCCATCCCTTGTCCCCAGTCCCTCTCCAGCTCTCCTGGAGCCCCTTTAGGCCCTGCAAGGGGCTCTCAGCTCTCCCTGGAGCCTTCTCTTCTCCAGGGGAACCCCCCCAGTCCTCCCAGCCTGGCTCCAGAGCAGAGTATTCCCAAACCAACGCACCTCCCTGGGATCTCCGTGTCCGGTGGGTGGGATGAAGGCCCTTATTCCCATCTCCTCTCCCTCGTTTTTGGCTCAGGGGCTGCGTGAGGGCGGACGAACCTTCCGCGCTCCGGGCGAGGGCCTCGCACTCGGGGGCCGTGAGGTGCCTCTTCTTGAAGGGCTTCATCCCTTTGGCAGCACAGAGAGAAAGGAAAAAAAAAATCCCAAAATCCAAGTGTTAGGAAGCAACAGTGCACAATCCACGTGTTTAGCACAGGGATGAAGAGAGTTTCCCCTCAGGAATTTTAGAGGGTGGCCCCGGTGTTTCGGGCGGGGGTTTCTCTGGATAAACAGGGCCTGGAATGATGGGACAAGATGGAATGGCTTTAAACTGACAGAGGGTAGGTTTAGGTTGGATATTGGGAAGGAATTCCTGGCTGAGAGAGTGGGGAGGAGCTGGAATGGATTTCCCAGAGAAGCTGTGGCTGCCCCTGGATCCCTGGAAGTGTCCAAGGCCAGGTTGGAGCAACTTGGGATAGTGGAAGGTGTCCCTGCCCATGGCAGAGGTGGGACTGGAGGTTTTTAAAGTCTCTTCCCATCTAAACAATCCTGGGATTCCATGATTCTGGATTCCCTCTGCTCTGGAGCCAGGCTGGGAGGACTGGGAGGGTTCCCCTGGAGAAGAGAAGGATCCAGGGAGAGCTGAGAGCCCCTTGCAGGGCCTGAAGGGGCTCCAGGAGAGCTGGGGAGGGACTGGGGACAAGGGATGGAGGGACAGGACACAGGGAATGGCTTCCCACTGCCAGAGGGCAGGGAGAGATGGGATATTGGGAAGGAATTGCTGGCTGGGAGGGTGGGGAGGGGCTGGAATGGATTTCCCAGAGAAGCTGTGGCTGCCCCTGGATCCCTGGGAGTGTCCAAGGCCAGGCTGGAGCAACCTGGGATAGTGGGAGGTGTCAGGGTTAGAACTGGATGGGTTTTATGTTCCCTTCCAACCTAATCCCTCCCATGATTCCATGATTCTACTTGCAGTCACTCCAACATGGATTTCACCCCATGTCCCTGCTCCATACACTCTTTGGAACAACTGGACCACAAAAAAAATCCAGAATCCTCCCAAATTTTCCAGCTTTCCCTCCAACAGAATGAGGAGGAAGCAGCTACAACAGCTGTGTAAATGCAAAGTATCCCCAAGATCTCCAAGGAGGTCGAACCCCCCAAGAGAGACAACAGGGATTTGCCCCTGGAAGGTCAAAGCCAACATCCAAACACACAAACCGACCCCCTCTCCCAAACAAATCCGAGCTGGGATCCTCCATTAGGGAGGAAACACGACCGAATTCCACTCAAGGAGCAGCACAAAACTCTCAAGAGAGAGTTATTGCAATAAAATAATAAAACCTTACTTGAAATAAGCAGAAATAATTCAAATTCCTTCTTCCAAAAAAAGAAGAAGGGAGAAACCCAAACCCACGGCGCGGGATGAGCTTCCTCCCGCCTCCGCCCACCTAGTTTCACTTTTGCTTTCTTTAATTAATTAATTAACCAATTAATTAATTAATTAACTCTTTTAGAGCAGCCACAGATCCATCCACTGTCCTCTTCCAGCAGGATCCAAGGATCTGCTTAGTTCATCCCGTGGGATAACGGGTGAGTTTGAGGATTTTTGGGGGGTTCTTCCAACCCCAACGATCCCACGGTTGTGCTGCTTCCTCCTTCCGTTAAAACCGTGCCGAGCTCCCCGGGGAGGCTCTTTTCTCCTTCCCGTTTTTCCCTCAAAACGTGGAAAACCAGGCCAAAAAAAAAAGCAGCACAGGCCGTTCCCGTGGGATTTAGGGACAATCTTTTAGCGGAGGACTGAGGGAACGGTTGGACTCGGTGATCTTAAGGATCTTTTCCAACCTAAAGGGTTCCGTGGTTCTACTTAAAAATGGGATTTCTCGCTTGAAATTGGAAAATTTTTTGGATTAGACAGCACAAATCACTGAAGGACCTCAATTCTTTTAAGCACAAGGTCATGACCAGTGTCAGGCTTGAGATCCCAGCTCCGTGCCCGTTCCTGGAGCTGTCGGACACCGATCGGATCCGACGTAGGACTGGGGGCACAACCTCTGCTCCCCCACCCCGAGACCACAAAAGTGCCTCACACCAGAGAGGATCCAAGCCCAGAAATGCAACACGACCCCCTCAGGCTTCACCTGCATTCCCATTTTTCCCGTTTTCCCAAGGTTTTCCGTCGGTGGCAGCGGCGGACGCCGGCGCCGAGCAAGGGTTGTGCTGCAGGGCCTTGTCAGGGGTCAGGGCTTCCATCCCATCGGGAATGTCAGCCAGGAGGAGACATTCCCAGCTCTGAAGGGAGAGGATCAGGATGGGGGAAGCTCCAGGGGGATGAGGAATATTTGGGAGCAGCTCGGGGCTGCTCCCCCTCCCCTCCCAGCACGTTGTTCCCAAACCCCTTTCCCACATGGATGCACTGATCCCATGCCACCCACATGGGGAGACCCCCAAACCGGCCCAGAGCAGCTCCCCCAAATCCAGCCCCTGTCCCAGACCTGCTGCCCCCATTTCCAAAGCCCCCTCCTCAAGTTCCAAAGGTCTCCCCATTTCTAAGTCCTCCCATATCAAGACAGCCCATTCCGAAGGCCCCCTGAATGCCAAGGGTTCCCCCCCAATTCCAAGCCCCCTCATTCCCAAGGCCCCTCAATGCTGAGAGTCCCCCACAATTCCAAGGCCCCCATTCCCAAGGGTCCCCCCCAACTCCAAGCCCCCCCATTCCCAAGGCCACCTCGATGCCAAGGGTCACCCCCAATTCCAAGCCCTCCCATTCTCAAGGGTCCCTCAGTGCCAAGGGTACCCTCCAATTCCAAGTCTCCTCATTCCCAAGGCCCCCTCAGTGCCAAGGGACCCCCACAATTCCAAGCCCCCTCATTCCCAAGGCCCCCTGAATGCCAAGGGTACCCTCCAATTCCAAGCCCCCTCATTCCCAAGGCCACCTCGATGCCAAGCGTCACCCCCAATTCCAAGCCCTCCCATTCCCAAGGGTCTCCCCCCAATTCCAAGCCCCCTCATTCCCAAGGCCCCCTCAATGCCAAGGG